TGTGTAGCATAGCATTTGTAGTCGTACAAGAAATTTATGATGCATTCGAAATTTATATATCTGTCTTTTCGATCGGTGAGCATTAATATGCATTACATATTGTGAATTTTGAATTATCTCAAATGATAAATTGTTAATGTAGTTCCACCTATAATCCAGTAGAGAATGGAATATACAACCTGATTTAACTTGTCTATTATAGGCCAGGAAACTCAGGCTGTTTAACAGAATCAGTGACATATTTACCCGTGGATAAAAATTGTGTGGCCCAGGAACAGAAGTATGTACATTTTGATGTGCGTCTACATGAAGCTCCAAATCGCCTTTTGTTCGAGTGTTTCTACTACTTTTACTTTTTTTTGTACTTTTTAAACTACAATTTACGACGAGAACTTTATTTTGATTTTTCAATTCTGTGTTTCTTTACTACCTAGGAGTATCTGCTTGATATAAAGCGAGGTTTATACTTCTTTCAGAGCCAATTAAACTGAATATAACAACTAACAATATTGTAATAGAAACACTGGCGTTTTCATAGCTATTTTAATGTGCTTTTTTAGCTTAATGTCATAATTATGTTATTGATGTTTCACAGAATCAATTAAATATTTAGATGCTAGGGTCGTAACAGATGATTTATAATGAAATAGGTATCTTTTAGCAAACATGATTCAATCCGATACTAAAAAAGATTAGAATCAGAGAAAAATTTCAGTATCAGAGGTTTATCCTTGATTGATTCTAAGACAAAAAGTATATAAACATAGGTGCAAAGATCCTTCGTTTTCAAGATTCAGGGTGTCAACCATCTGTTGCAATATCGGTTTTTGTGAAAACCCCAATATTTCTTGAGCTGAATTTGTTGAAAAAGTGATTGCTGTTAATTTCGCAAAAACCCCAATAGACCGCAAGATATATTCTACCTCAGTACAATGAGGCGTTGGTTCTAAGATGTCTGCTCTGTCGCAGACAGCGGTTTCTTTGTATTCTGACAGATGACTCAATCCGGCCCATATCTTGGAACCCATTCAATTCATCCAAATTAACCAAAACCACTCTTCCAGAGTGGATAGCTGAGTAGAACCGATACCCCATTATAATTACTAAGACCGCCATCTTGGAACCAGTTGAGTTTTGATGTTTGTGTCCATCGAGACAGTTGTTCAGGATGCCGCGATACGTAAGATTCCACAAACTCGCTCATATTAACTGAAACCACGGTCTCCGATAAGGCAGATAGCTGAGTAAAACCGATGCGCCATGACTAGACTTTGGGACCCGTTGAGTTTTGGGCTTTGTGCTCATTGAGACATTCTTGGGACCCGTTGATTTTTGTGGTTTGTGTCCATTGAGACATTAGTTCAGGATGCATAACATTTCACAAATTCAGTCATATTAATTGGAACCACCCACATATCTTGGGACCCGTTGAGTTTTGATGTTTGTGTCCATCGAGACATTTGTTGAGGATGCCGAGATACGTAAGATTCCGCAAATTCGGTCATATTGATTGAAACCACGGTCTCCGATAAGGCAGATAGCTAAGTAGAACCGATGCGCCATGCCTAGACTTTGGGACCCGTTGAGTTTTGGGGTTTGTGCTCATTGAGACATTCTTGGGACCCGTTGATTTTTGTAGTTTGTGTCCTTTGAGACATTAGTTCAGGATGCATAACATTTCACAAGTTCAGTCATATTAAACGGAACCATCAACATATCTTGGGACCCGTTGAGTTTTGATGTTTGTGTCGATCGAGACATTTGTACAGGATGCCGAGATACGTAAGATTCCGCAAATTCATATTAACTGAAACCCCGTTCATCGATAAGGCAGATAGCTGAGTAGAACCGATGCCCTATGTCTAGACTTTGGGACCCGTTGAGTTTTGGGGTTGTGCTTATTGAGACATTCTTGGAACCCGTTGATTTTTGTAGTTTGTATCCTTTGAGACATTAGTTCAAGTTGCATAACATTTCACAAATTCCATCATAATAATCGGAACCACCCACATATCTTGGGACCCGTTGAGTTTTGATGTTTGTGTCCATCGACACATTTGTTTAGGATGCTGAGATACGTAAGATTCCACAAATTCGGTCATATTAATTGAAACCAAGGTCTCCGATAAGGTAGATGGCTGAATAGAATCGATGTTCCATGTCTGGACTTTGGGACACGTTGACTTTTGGGATTTGTGCTCATTGAGACATTCTTGGGAACCGTTGATTTTTGTAGTTTGTGTCCACTGAGACATTAGTTCAGGATGCATAACATTTCACAAATTCAGTCATATTAATCGGAACCACCCACATATCTTGGGACCTGTTGAGTTTTGATGTTTGTGTCCATCGAGACATTTGTTCAGGATGCCGAGAAACGTAAAATTCCGCAAATTCGGTCATATTAATTGAAACCATGATCTCCGATAAGGTAGATAGCTGAATAGAACCGATGTTTCATGTCTAGACTTTGGGACCCCTTGACCTTTGGCCGTTTGTGCTCATTGAGACATTCTTGGGACCCGTGATTTTGTGGTTTGTGGTCCATTGAGACATTAGTTCAGCATGCATAACATTTAACAAATTCAATCATAATAATCGTAACCATCCACATATCTTGGACCCGTTGAGTTTTGATATTTGTGTCTGAGACATTTGTTCAGGATGCCGCAAGATTCTACAAATTCGGTCATATTACTGAACACGGTCTCCGTATCAGAAGATAGCCGAATAGAACCGATGCCCCATGCCTAGACTTTGGGACCCGTTGTACTTTTGGGGTTGTGCTCATTGAGACATTCTGCGGACCCGTTGATTTTTGTAGTTTGTTGTCCTTGAGACATTTAGTTCAGGATGCATACCATTTCACAAATTCAGTCATATTAACCGTAACCACCCACATATCTTGGGACCCGTTGAGTTTTGATGTTTGTGTCCATCGAGACATTTGTTGAGGATGCCGAGATTCGTAAGATTCCGCAAATTCAGACACATTAGCTGGATCCATGGTATCTGATAAGGCAGATAGCTAAGTAGAACCAATGCCCTATGCCTAGACTTTGGGACCCGTTGAGTTTTGGGGTTTGTGCTCATTGAGACATTCTTGGGACCCGTTGATTTTTGTAGTCCATTGAGACATTAGTTCAGGATGCAGAACATTTCACAAATTCAGTCATATTAATCGGAACCACCCACATATCTTGGGACCCGTTGAGTTTTGATGTTTGTGTCCATCGACACATTTGTTGAGGATGTCGAGATACGTAAGATTCCGCAAATTCGGTCATATTAATTGAAACCACGGTCTCAGATAAGGCAGATAGCTACTTAGAACCGATGCGCCATGCCTAGACTTTGGGACCCGTTGAGTTTTGGGGTTTGTGCTCATTGAGACATTCTTGGGACCCGTTGATTTTTGTAGTTTGTGTCCTCTGAGACATTAGTTCAGGATGCATAACATTTCACAAATTCATTCATATTAAACGGAACCACCCACATATCTTGGGACCCGTTGAGTTTTGATGTTTGTGTCCATCGAGACATTTGTTCAGGATGCCGAGAAACGTAAGATTCCGCAAATTCGGTCATATTAATTGAAACCGCGGTCTCCAATAAGGTAGATAGCTAAGTAGAACCAATGCCCTATGCCTAAACTTTGAGACCCGTTGAGTTTTTGGAGTTTGTGCTCATTGAGACATTCTTGGGACCCGTTGATTTTTGTAGTTTGTGTCCGTTGAGACATTAGTTCAAGATGCATAAAATTTCACAAATTCAGTCATATTAAACGGAACCATTCACATATCTTGGGACCCGTTGAGTTTTGATGTTTGTGTCCATCGAGACATTTGTTGAGGATGCCGAGATACGTAAGATTTCGCAAATTCGGTCTTATTAGCTGGAACCACGGTCTCCGATAAGGCAGATAGCTGAGTGGAACCGATGCCCCTATGCCTAGACTTTGGGACCCGTTTACTTTTGGGGTTTGTGCTCATTAAGACATTCTTGGGAACCGTTGATTTTTGTAGTTTGTGTCCACTGAGACATTAGTTCAGGATGCACAACATTTCACAAATTCAGTCATATTAATAGCACCCACCCATATATCTTGGGACCCGTTGAGTTTTGATGTTTGTGTCCATCGAGACATTTGTTGAGGATGCCGAGATACGTAAGAATCCGCAAATTCGGTCTTATTAGCTGGAACCACGGTCTCTGATAAGGCAGATAGCTGAGTCGAACCGATGCCCCATGCCTAGACTTTGGGACCCGTTGACTTTTGGGGTTTGTGCGCATTGAGACATACTTGGGACCCGTTGAGTTTCGGGTCTCTGCGCAGATGCAACATCGAAAATTTCAATTAAAACGAATAAGCAGAATACGTCAATAAAATTAGAACCCTTCAAAAAAAATAACGAGTTGAAATCCGACGATCTATATGGCCATAGAAATAAGTATTTTTTGAAGGGGTATTAAGAGGTCATCAAAAGAGGTTTGACATCATGTATCTTAAAAACGGAACATTTCCGCAAGGGTATTACGTAACTTGAAAAGTGACATTATGTTGTTTTTTTGACATTATGTAGGTTCTCCTACAAGACATCAACTTAGAACTAGCTATTTGGACACTAGCCTGTCTAGTCAACAAGTTGACATTTTGTCGTCTTGTTTTTGACATTACATAGGTTATCTACGTAATAACCCTGCGCACTTATGTCAATATAATATTTTGTTCCTAGAATCACCCGAAAGATATCATCCTTTGAAGCTTTTACAGGTATTTCATCAATATCTAAATATCTTTTACATTAAATCTGTGAATATTTAAGACATATCTGATTAAATTTCAAAAAAAATCACGGTTTCAGTTTCGATACGTCTCTATCTCTCTACTTCTTTCTAATGCCAGTTGTCCACAATTCTGTGTGAGCATGTGGCTATTTTTTCAAATAAATCACCGAAAAAAAAAAACTCAACGAAATCAACTCGAAAAAAAAACTTACGCGAACACTTCACGAACAATTGACACTTGAACAAAATCAGCTTATCCGTGTAACAAGTGGCACTAAACAAACTACGAACGCAAGTAAGTCAAACCCCGAAACGTCAACGCGTATTCGACATCGACAGACAGCACATGTTCGGTGTGGTAGACAGGACGAGGTTGACCTTCCTTGTTGGTGCGTGTGGTTGAACTGAACTATAACTGACCAGAAAGGTGTCTCGGTTCTTGCCGGTTGCCGGACCCAGTACCAGACCCGCAGACCGTCCACCGTCCGTCGCGCCATCCATCGGATACCATGCCCATGGCCAGGGCTGGGTCCAGCCAAAAAAGACACCCAACACCAATCACTAGCGAAGTATTGTAATCTCGAAAAATGTAGAAAACGAGATATGTTTTTTGGATGTTGTACGAGCACTAACACAAACATGTTCGGAGATTATCTAATTTTATCTTAAAGTTTGTTTTTGTAAGGCTAAAAATTAATTGTTTTTCAAATTAACATATTAACTGTTTCCAAGTAGTATGATATTGAAATGTAAAATCAAAAATCTTAAATTCATTTTTTTCAGATGAAAAACGCTAGATACGAATTCCGCGCTGAACCATTCCCTGACATGGATTGTAATAGTTTTTACAATAAAATACAGCCTCAATTTTTTTACTGCCCTCTAAAGTTGAGGGATGGAAGAGATTTTTCACAAAAAAGTGAATTTGAGATTTTTTGCGGTAATTTCTAATTAGCTCTGTTAAAAAGTGACATAACCATTCCGGAAACTAACCATTTAGCTCATCTCAAAAAAGTCTCAGCCCTAAACCTAATGGTTTAGTTGTAATTGCGATTGAAAGTTAATTATCCCGTTTTTTTTTTTCGAAATTTCACAAAATTGCAAATATCTCCTGCACTATAAAATTTCGGACCACACGTATAGGGTTTCATTCGATAGTTTTGAGGCTGACTTCAGTTGATCCATTACTAACTTTACACCCTGTATATGTTTGGGCACGATATTAAAAAGGAAATAATAGCACGCCATGGAAATAAAGAAGCGTTTATAATTTGACGTTTAGATTCGAGAATCAATTCTGCGAATCAATTTGCTTAAAAATCGCGAGTGGTAAAGCAAGAAACGGTGCAATAAGACTTTTAATCAAAAAATTGTTTCATCAAGGAAATAGTTTTCGAGATATTGCTAAACAAATCGCAAAGTCTACGGTGGCAGATATTGTAAAAAAGTTGGAGATACAAGTTTCAAGACACGGTGTTGGTAGGCCACGTAAGATCAGTCCTAGAATGCAAAGATCTCTTGTTTGTATTTGCAAAGCTGGTCGTCGAGGAACATAACAGCAAAATGCAACGACAACAGCAGGAAATGTCTCACGAGAAACGTTGCCGTTGGTGGACCCATAAGTCTGGTTTATATTTTTATCAGGTACGGAGGTAGCATTTAAGGGACATATGGCATACAGGGTTTGTCCGGAAAGTAATAGGACTTATTTTCTTCGGAGTATGCGTGCACCGACTGGATTCGGTAGAGGGCGTTCCTAGCTAACGAATGAGCGGCTGGTCAGTGGTCTCCGAGCACTTGGAGAGTCAGGACAGGCATTTTCGCGCGAGGTGTTTCTGTGAGTGGTGCAGGCCGAAAATGCATCGTTCGTTAGAGCAGAGGTACGCGATTAAATTCTGTGTGAAACTCGGAAAATCTGCGACAGAGACGTTTGATATGATCAAGCAGGCTGACAGTGCTGCATCGACGCAGAAAGAGCCTAATTTGAAAGTTTTTAAAGAATTGTAACGATTGGTTCAATAAATGTTTTTAAATCGACTCAGTCCTATTACTTTCCGGACAAACCCTGTATGTTCAGTAAAATCTTTCCTTTAGGCAAAAGAAAAGCGGTTGCTTACAGAAAAACAAAAAAAATGCTATTAGCGTGGGCTAAGGAACGGGCAATGTGGTCAGGGAACCCTGAACATGAACCTGAACAATTACCTGATTCCGTCCCTGCTCGCGAGTTGGTAGTTGATGGTTACAGGTAGCCAACGCGAGATTTCAGGAGCTCAACCTACCACCACGCATGCGTTTGTTTTATTATTTTTTTGAATATCATATAGGACGTGGGACCATTGTTATCTGAGGACACATATAATCGCCTCTCACACTTGTGTTATGTGTTTTTTTAGAAGGACGGAGCATAATCTCATTCTCTTGAATTTCTACCTTTCTTATCGACTAAGGTTTACGACTTTTGTTACGATAACGTCACATTGGACCAGTCAAGAAGACAAACTTAGTCCAATACGGCGTAAACTTCATTTAATAATGATAATATATAGAAGATTAAGGACGAAGCAAACTCCGGTAATGCTTCACTTTTAGGATAGAAGGTATCAAGCGTTTTTTTTTTATAAAAATAACCTGTAAAGTAGATTTTTCCATTTAGAAAAATGTTCTCTTGAGTTTGATCAGATGTTTATATGAATGAAACTTAAGCTAACATAATAATGAATAATCCTACAAATCCCCAAACTTGTACACAAAATCATGTTGAATATACAAATTTCAAGGTGAAGGGCCATTGTTTTCTGAATCGCCCTGTATATTGTAGAGTTGACTAGTAGCAACGTACTGTATAAGCGTTTTTCTATGAAAGTGTTTTGTTGTCGATAGGACAAAGCGATATGTTACTGAATACAGACGTATCCTTTTCCTGAACGTATAAAATTTTAAATTCACTTAAATCTGTGTGAGCGCTGTGTGGTGTCGCAACCAAGGCATTTGACACCTGTAAAATCGGAATCTGATATACGATACTGTTATTCGATATTTCGTATTTTCAAGAAAAGAACTTTAGAGTCTTCAGTCGGTTGTAGCAGCGGTCAACGGTATACACATGAAGAGAGACGGCCTACGTCTATCCTCTAGATCAGATATGCTGATTGCGAAGGATTTTATAAGGCGTTAACCACAGAGTCGGGAATAATTTCTTCGTGAATCTCAAGACCGTCTTCAGAATTACTTACATCAAATTCAAGTACATTACAATTTCTCATAATGTTAAATTTTGACAATATTCAAATTTCATATCAATCAGATCCTTCAACCGCTTTTTTTGTACATAAAATGAGACCATATGGGGAAACACCCAATACCATGGAAGCCTCGGATTTATTGACTTTGGAACAGGATATTTTTGAAACTGGATTGTACTTAACCAAAAGAAAAACCCAAAACCCACCATCAAGGACGAGTTTAACGTTCTTACTTCCCATTACACACGTTTTACTTCCTACGCCTGCTATCAAGGAAGTATTGTAATAGCGAAAAAAAAAACGAAAATGTGATATTATGTTTGCTGACTTACGGCCGCAGCCGGCGTGCCGGTGTTCGTATATGTCCTGCATCACTGGCGGCCTGTGGCCCGTCTATAACTTGAGAAGTAGCGCTCGTATTTTGATGAAAGTGCTGCTCGGTTTTGGATGGAATTTTTACACAAGGTTACTACTATAGCAAGGACAAAAAAGCTTTGTAGTTTTTGAAAATCGGTCCAGTGGCGGAGCTACAGAAAAATGAAAATCGATCAAACTTCGTTTTTGTCGTTTCGTTGTCGAATCTGTGCAGACTATGGACTGATTGTATGAGCCTGTTTGACTGACATGATCCATATACTTTTTTGGTTATACATATAATCTTTTATGAACAGCGTTGCGGAGGAAGTGCAGAGTCAACCTACTCGACTCCAATTTCCTTTTAATGATACGTAGAATTAACCCTCGTAGTTGCAAAGTGATGTATATAAAAAATAGAAAATAGATGTATACGTATGCATGCAATAACTTAACATATGCTCCAGAATGGTAGCATAATATTAGTCGTGAAACATTTATATTCAATGTACTGTTTTCAACCGTTTAAATTCTTGCAGAACCCATGGTAATTACATACATTTACAAGCAGCTATCCATTTTCATGGTTTGTAATTATCAGATTTTAGAATTCCACTTGGATACATCCTCAATGTTTACTCGATAATTATTGGCAACACTAGCAACGTAGTATGATTTAATGAGACTATTCGTATAAATATAGAAAACCGTTCATGATTCTGGAAATAAACGAACGGAGACCTTCTGGAACAACAGACATTGAGTAAAGCAGCTAGACATCCAGGCAAATATTTGAATCTATACAAAGGACCAGGGTCTGGAAGCGGGGTTGTGTGTTGAAAATTAGTGGTGATCTGCTACCATAAGCAATAGCACTCCATACCATAACTCCAACGGTGTGGTGAACGTGACGCTTTGAATTTGAATTTTTGAATTTGAATTTTTGAATTTGAATTTTTGAATTTTGAATTATTTTGAATTTGAATTTTGAATTTGGAATTTTTGAATTTGAATTTTGAATTGAATTTTGAATTTGAATTTTGAATTGAATTTTTGAATTTGAATTTGAATTTGATTTTTGAATTTGAATTTTGAATTTGAATTTGAATATTTTGAATTTGAATTTTTGAATTTGAATTTTTGAATTTGAATTTTTGAATTGAATTTTTGAATTTGAATTTTTGAATTGCATTTTTGAATTTGAATTTTGAATTTGACTTTTGAATTGAATTTTGAATTTGAATTTTTGAATTTGAATTTTGAATTTGAATTTTTGAATTTGAATTTTGATTTGAATTTTGAATTTGAATTTTGAATTGAATTTTTGACTTTGAATTTTTGAATTTGAATTTTTGAATTGTTGCATTTTTGAATTTGATATTTTGAATTTGAATTTTTGAATTTGAATTTTTGAATTTGAATTTTTGAATTTGAATTTTTGAATTTGACTATTTGCCTTTTGCCTTTGCCTTTTTGCCTTTGCCTTTTTGCCTTTGCCTTTTTGCCTTTGCCTTTTGATTTGCCTTTTTGCCTTTGCCTTTTTGCCTTTGCCTTTTTGCCTTGCCTTTTTGCCTTTGCCTTTTTGCCTTTGCCTTTTTGCCTTTGCCTTTTTGCCTTTGCCTTTTTGCCTTTGCCTTTTTGCCTTTGCCTTTTTGCCTTTGCCTTTTTGCCTTTGCCTTTTTGCCTTTGCCTTTTTGCCTTTGCCTTTTTGCCTTTGCCTTTTTGCCTTTGCTTTTGCCTTTGCCTTTGTGCCTTTGCCTTTTTGCCTTTGCCATTTTGAATTTGATATTCTTGGACATGTAAAAGTATCTTAGTTCGCGTTGAAAACTAATAATACTGTTTCCGTCCATCCACAG